CCTATGAGTGAGAAAGGAAAAGTTCTAGTGGGATTTCATCTTTAGTATATTCATCTCCTGGAATGAAATTGACAATCTCCAAAAAGATTTTCAGATGTTGTACATGATCATCATCATTCCTTTCTGCAAATCTCCAGGATGTTGCACAATTTGGACAGTTGAGTATGAGTACTCATATAGAGTAGGTGTGACGACTACTCTGTGCTCTTGAGTCATCGGTGATGATGTAGAAGAGGATATGAAAGAGGTTTCTTCTCCTAGATCAAAGCTGCAGGCTTCTACAATTTTATCCTTCAAACTCAAGTTTGCCTTCTGATGGGTAAGGCTCGAAATCTCCTCTTCTTCTAATCTTGATGCTTCTTCCTTTGAGATAAACAAAGGTGAACTAGATGCTCCTCCTTTGATGATATCTTCCACAATCTTTTGATTTTTGGCTTCTCTTCTAGTAAAGACCAAACTGATAGGATAACCTGGAAACACACATTAAAACTAAAACTAATGAAGATTCGTAAGATGGTTTGATATATGATTAGAAGTCCTCGACAATGGCGCCTAAAATATTATTACTAATGAATACAGTGCAATGCAACTAGTAAAAATCCTAGATTAACTAGGATCGTATTCCACAAGGTCTTCTAATGCAAAGCAAGGTAAAGTAAATTAAAACATAAGAGCAAAGATATGTAATTGAATAGAAATTTTACTCCGCATAAACATGCATCTCAATTCTCACTCATATCATAAGCATCAATGCATCGTCCATTGTACCACTCTATCCCTTGTATTAAAGAATTTTTAACCAAGCTTTCACCACATTTGAGAGAAACTATAATTAGCTCATGCGTACTTTCATTTCATACCATCAACTAAATAATGAAGAACAAAAAAGTAAGGATAACACATAATTAAGTGGGGCCTCTTTCACCATAACATATGATCTATAGCATCGATGATCTAAAAATTAAGCATTTATACTATACATAGATGCATGGGTAATCAATTCCCCCATCTACGTATTGGCAATGAGATATCACAAGAAAATAGTTTCCTAACATTCTAGATTATATTATAAACAATACATATAGTAGCATACAATAGAATCATAAACATCAGTGATAAAATGCTTTAGATCACATAAGCATAGAATGAACAAGAATTGTTCAGGTCTGACCGGCTAAATGACAAAATTGCTTGGAGCTGATCTTTACATATGCAAAAAAGTCAGTTGTATGGAAGGTAATTAATGAGTATTATGTAAATATTGATATATAGATGACCATTGTCATTAGCACATTAGATGCTCACTTGGGAGTTACATGTAACCCATATTCCTACATTTGATAGCTCCTTTATGTTTCATAATCTCTCATTAATATAAGGATGTAGTGGTTATTAAAGTGTGCCTATAAATAGAGCACACCATTGTATCAAAAGAGATGAATGAATAAGAAGAACTCTTTCCTCTCTTCTCTTATGTGTTTCCCTCTCTAATATTCTTTTGTAGTTATTTATATTTTCCATTAGTTTCATAACACATTATCAGCACGAAGCTCTGCCAAAATTATCATTGCTCAAAGACTCTCGACATAATCTAAGATATTGGAGTAAGATCACAATATGATCAAGGTATGTAAATCTTATATCCTTTCTTATCTTATTGTCTCATTTGTGTTGAGATTATCTCATTCCAATATATCAAGATGGGTGCTACTCTTTTCTTGTATCCATTGATATTTTATCACGTCAATCTATTTGGATGAACAAGAAAAGTAATATAAGTGATGAGTTAATTTCTCAGTTCTCCGTGTTATCCTATTCTTATCAATCCTACATTGATATGTAGAAAATGCAAGTTCCAAGAGACCATATATTCCCCAGAAGTGGAAATTGAAGAATCCAAGGGCAAAGAAAGAAGTGGACATGGTAACAAGAATATTGGTTTTGTATGTTACCATTGTAATGGAAAATTGCATTTGTCTTGTACCCGTTGTACTCAAAAGACCTTATTCTACCAAGAATCAAAGGGAAAAGATAATTCATATACGCTCCTGCAATATCAATATTATGGAAAATAATTTTTGTATTATAAGTTGGTATATTCTCCATTTAAGATGAAAATGATATTGCAGTACTTGAGAAATTTTCATTCCTAGAAGTGAATGAAACAATCTATTCCCCGAAGTGAATGGAGCTATAAACATAATTATATATATGTTAAATGTATTGTTTGGATCTTTTCACCAAGAGTGAAAAAGAGGAGTAAAAGGAGAACTATAAATAAGGATGACACCACAATTGCATTATCAAAGTCATGAATCATGATAACATAATGTGCATGTTGTACATTATAATGTATAATGAAATGCATATATAAATTTAAAATCACCTAGCTATTGATCGTATTGTTCCAAATAAAGCTTATTTAATTTTCACAATTGTAGTATTATGATTCTTATTGTCTCTTATGTTTTATTGTGACGTTATTTTCTATGCATAATTTAATTTGATAACTTTTATCTAGAACAATTAACTTGATAAATTCATCATTTTTGTCTTAAGTTTGAAATATTCTCATTTATTATTTTTAGTATGTTTATATAAAGTATGAGTGTTAGAAAAATTCCATATAAACTATATGGTAGAGTACATAAATAAGAAAAAGCTTTCGAAGAGCTTATGTTTGGTTGCTTGAAGTAACTAAATTATCTACTCAGTGATAACAATTTGTGATGATATTCACTATGAATTTGTGTTTACTAAGAATGCATCAAATAATAAGTCCCCATAAGGGTGGAATATGATACAAAATTTGGTAAAGTTTTAAAAGAGCTAATTTTGTGGCCTGAAGGAACCACACTACTTAGTGATGATGCATTACCCAATTAAAAGGATATTCGCAAAATGAATATCTTATCAAGAAAATAGTGAAACTAATATTTGCATCACAAATATGTACTACATGTATATGAGTACAACCAGTACACATAAAAGTGTAAATCATAAGTTTACAAGATTTGATAACTTGAAAATTGGTTGGTCCGGTTAGACTATCCCGGATCTTGATGTGAAAAAAAGTTCTTTGAGAATTCATGAGAACATCATATGAGAAGTGAAAGAACTCTTCAATTAAAATAGTTATTATGTCATGTTTGTTCTCAAGCAAAATAGAACAATTGATCATCGCTTGTTTAAGAGTTGGCAAATCTCTTGAGATTTTATGGACGTGTATGCAGAACAATACATCATTCATGTGGATCATTTGTGAATTTTATGGGTTGTTGCATCAAATGAATGATCACTTTTATTTTATCTAATTGCAACCCGATGTTTGCGAGATTGATTGCCTCACTATGGATGCAACTACTTTTTCAAATCAATGTTTGAAAATTGTTGTGATAGCCTATTTTTTTTGAATTTCCTGAAGATGTTATATATATTTGACACTCCCAGAATGATTAATTACTCCTAGAAGGATTAATTTACCTGAAGTAAACAAGTAAAATTCTCGAGAACATATATCGATAGACTAAGAATATCCCATGTATAGGTTGAGACAATATAGACGAATGTGAAATACTCGTCTAAGTGAACACCTACAACAGTAGGGTGAATGGACCTTAAAAGGTTAAATCCGAATAGAGTGCATTAGAGCATTTGCATTGTGCATATATTGCTGTGTTGTCTGTATGTGCTTCAAGGATCTTGTGGTTTATGTGTTGTGTTTTACTTTAAAGTATGATTTATGTTTTATGAGTGTACTTTGTCGAGTTCACATTGGTTCTATGATGTTAGTTTTGTTATTATCTTTCGTGATATAAAAGAATTGTTTGCATCAATTCTTTGTGACGATCTCATATTATGTTGATGATATGATTATTATTGGAGCTCCTGAAGAGCTTCCTAAAGCAGTTGATTGCTTAGAGACATAAGTTAAATTGAAGGATTTATGATCCTTTTATGGGCAAGGAAGATAATGTTGAAAAAGTGGGAAAGTAATTTTGCATGAACAAATTGTGTTCATCAAATAACATTAGGATCCTATGATCACTAAAGGTGACCAAAGATCCATTTAGGCATCAAGGAAAAAGTCAAACATTAGGTCCTTAAGTACTCAATGTTGATGTACTAGGTCCTGCAGTACCATATGTTGATGCATCAGAGCACCAATGCACCTTGCTAGCCAAGCACCATATAAATTATCATTTTGGTGTTGATAATATTAGCAAGATACAATGTTTCCCTCATTGGAACGTTGGAAAATCTTAGTTACCTCCGGGAACAATATATGTGATTGTTCTATTATGGTGTTATCAAAAAGATATTTGGTGAACTATATATCCAAATCATATATACCATTTGATCCTTGTATTGGTTGATCGGAGACAAGCTATATCTTATATATGGTGATATAACTGTTTCATAGAGAAACAAAACAAACTATAGTAGGCAAGTTCTGAATGTATTTCGTTACACTTTGTGATTCACCATACCTAAAGGACTTGTGGTTGTGAACTATTTCCAAAGGAAATGATCCTGACGATCATGTATGAAGAAAATCTAAAGATCGTGCATCAAATTGACAATCTAGAAGATTGTTCACTAACTCACTCCCGACAACAATCTTTCTAAAAGTTGTTCGTGAAATTTGAGTTCAACGACTCAAAGATCTGAAGTGATGTGGTCATGAGGGGAACATATATGCACTGCACTCTTTTTCCCTTAATCATGGTTTTTCCCACTGGGTTTTCCTAGTAAGGTTATTAACGAGGCAATTTGAGATAGCATAATGCAATCTAGTGGTCATCCAAGGGGGAGTATTATGTAAATATTGATATATGGATGACCATTGTTATTACCACATTAGATGCTCACTTGGGAGTTACATGTAACCCCTATTCTAATATTTGGTAGCTCCTTTATGTTTCATAATCTCTCATCAATATAAGGATGTAATGGTTACAAAAGTGTGCCTATAAATAGAGCACACCATTGTATTAAAAGAGATGAATGAATAAAAAGAACTCTACCCTCTCTTCTCTTGTGTCTTTCCCTCTCTAATATTCTCTTGTAGTTGTTTATATTTTCCATTAGTTTCATAACAATGAGAGCATTGTGGTGTTGGACAATAGGTATTCTATGGAAAGAGATATGCTTGGGAGTCTTTGGCGCTTCACCTCGAAGTAGTCAAGTACTGATTAGCATAATTAGAGAGGAAGTTCAAATGTATAGTTTTGCAAATAGTAGTTTTTGAGCAGTAGTACTGATCACCTAACCCATACACTACGGTTTTGAAAATACTAAACTCAAATCCACCCAAAATAATAAGAACCCTACTATTTATTTAAAATTAGGTTGGGTGGTACGGACGATACTTTTAAGTAAGAACCCAACAAAAAATACAATTATTTACACCACAAAAATATAATGTAACTAATTAAAATTTAAAACAAACTGATGGTGGTGAAAAGTATTAAAATTCATAGATGTTTTTTGGTACTTAAAGAAATGCAATTTGCTTCAACATATGTCTAGTTTTTTTCTAGAAGCATTTGTTGAAAGAAGCTAAAAATATTATAACTTATAAGCGAACACATCCATAGTATATATGTTATTCTTCTAAAATTGTAACAAAAAATTTACGTGAAGCATAACCTATATAAACTCACATCTAAAAATTTAAGTTGAAGAATGCATTAGGTTAGGGAGACCACGAGATAAAATTATGACAAAATATCTTAATTTCTCACAGACGTGCTTATATACGACAAAACTATATTTGTGGCTATAACACTTATGGAAATTGTTGGAATACAGGTTGGGTCGGGTTCTACGAGTTGTGTAACTCAAAATCCGCACCTAACCTAAAAGTAGCAGGTTGTGCAGAATAAAACCATCGGCCAACCTTAAACCTTAATATTAATGCTAAATACGGATGAGTTGGATCGAGTGGATTAGTTTGCTTGTCTTTTTGCTCATCCCTAGTTGCGGGGTTATTTGTTTAAAGTATCGAGTGATCTTGTATAGATAGTATTCTTAGTTAACTGTCAATTTAGTTTCTGTAGCTGTAATGTAATTGATCGTATTATCAAATTTGAGCTATAAAAGATACTCTAATTACCGAAAAAATCCAGATTCATTATCTAATTTGACAATTTACTTTAGAGTCAATAGATGTCCTTAAATTGATCTGTAGATACTAGTAGTATCTATCATAACTGGATAGCTCATTAGTATGTTATTGTCCGCTTTCAGCCAATCAACACGGTTTTACTATTGGGTATCCTCTCTAAAATGCCTCGTACTAATTGGGCTAGGTGGACACTAATATACAAGGGTTTATTCCCTTGTATTTTCCGATGTGGTACTTGGATTGTCCCATAACAATCCTCCCCTCAAGACAAGGACCACAAACTTCGTGTACTCTCCTCAGCGATTATCTTGATCCGCCGAACTCCTTATATCGATGGACTTCTCGGTACAAGGATTTTCAAAGATGGAGAAATCTCTTTAATCTGTCAATAGCTCAGATGCGGAACTCTATTTGATCCGTCAAACAGACACGAATCGCAAATCCCTTGTATTATTTCCAGTATACAAGGGTTCCTTTCCTTGTATTTCGATGTGGTACTTGAATTATTCCTATACCAGGGTTCCTTTCCTTGTATTTCGATGTGGTACTTGAATTATTCCTACTATAAATTCCCAACATATGATTCATTTCTTATTATTTGCTATCAATTTATTTCGCTCTATATATAACCCCCTCTAAACTTTAAGCATTGCAAAGACAGGAAGCTAGTCCGTTTTCCTCTTAGTCCATCTAAATAGTATGGTCTACACATGTTATTTTACTGCTCAATTTGCTCTTTTCGTTCTTTCTGTTGATTGCTAAAGATGGAAAGGTCGACTAAGTCTGTGACCGGCAAGCGCCTCACTTCCTGTTCCCGTGATACGGAAAGAAATGTCAGTGGCGCCAATGAAGAGAGTGGCTGGACTGCATATTTCGACGATCTTTACAGCAGCTACAATTACAGTGAATATATGTCTTTGTCTGTCGGTAAGCATCAGTGTCGGAGCTCTTCCCTATTATCCGACGCTGCATCCGTAGTCGGTAATAAGACTCCGAAGAAGCTGGATTCGGCTTCAGAAAACGTTAAAAGACAGAATTTCAAGAAGAGAAGAACTGCAAAATCTTTGGTTGACGATGAGGGGATTGAAGATACGGCTAGCTCTCTTCATCGGAATAATGATGATACTGCTAGTTCTATTAATATAAACAGTTCCATGGTTAGGAACGACATTTGCCGCTTTCCCCGATTCTACTTCCACTGAACATCCAACGCTTCAATACAACTACCACTGCAGCAGAGAAGTTTAGTCCAGACGATGCGGAGCTTGATTTACTCGCCGTACAATTGCCAAGGAAATAAAATTAGTGATCCAGGTCCTACTGACCCTCTCGTGGAGTCCATTGCAGCTTGCAGGTGATCCAGGACTTTCTCATGTGATCACGACTGTTTCTACCTTCTAAAATCTATAGTTGAGGCATGGAAATGAAGGATCAATGTATTGATCCCCCCTCCCCCCTCTTATCAGTTCATATTGATCGCTGTTGTCACCGCAGTCCTCTACGATACTGACGTTCCTCTGTATCCTTTGCCAACAATACTGAAATGAAAACAGTTTACTAAAAAATGCCATTCGATATACCGATTCCTTGTACAACAATTTTCTTTCTGTTTATATTGCACGCTCTTGTCTTGCATATTTTGCCAACTAATTAACCTACGATCAATTCCATAATCTGTAATAGTTGTGAAGTAAAATACCGAGTTGGACTTAGGTCACACAATTCGCCAGGAAGGGGTCGGCGCTCCCGACTTGGAGCGCGAAAACGCGAATTTGAGGGGATTCGAAGAAAATTCACGAATTAATGTTTGTTGGAGCGCGAATTTTGTAAACAAATTCGCGAATTTATTTCACAGAGACAGTGGAAGAGGAAGTGGCAACAATAATGACTGCCGAGATGGTGAAGGAGATGAAATCGGCGATTGGGTTGATGGAGAAAGGCGGGAAGAGGCTGAGTCTCTGCATGCAAACCGAAATGAGTTTACCGAGTATAGAGATCTTGAAACATGTGTAAGAACGCGAATAAGAGACCTCCTAGAATGTTCGGCGGGAGGGAGAGGGAGGCGGTGGCGGCAGCGGCAACGGGGTTGACAGTCTCCGTCGCTATCACTACGATGAGAAATCTGGCGGTGGAGTTGAAAGAAGAGATGAGTGTGAGGGGTTTTCGGTAATGCTTCCCTGCGATGGGGAAATGGAGTGTCGAAATTTGACCATGCTCAATTTAGGGATTTGGAATTTTACAGAGAAAAGGGAGAGTTGGAGAAGAAAGATGCGAGGAAGAAGACAGAATGAAGGGAAATAATTCCTTCTTGTTTATCTGTACTTATTTGTGGGCTCCAAATAGATACTAAGCAATAGTAAAAACCAAAGCCCACTTTTAATGAAACCAATCTCACCAAACGTAATGAGAGGCCCAAAAGTTGGCTCTATGACATTATCTTACAGTAGGTATGGAGTTAATTTGTAGTTTAATAATACAACTTTGTTCCTTTGTCCAAAATCTGTTAGTATATTAATATATTTATTAAAAAAATAATATTAACGCTTTCTAGACGCTCTCAAAATATAATTCTCGTAAAATAGACGCTTTCGCGCTCTCGCTCCCGCTCCCTCTCTACGAATCGGTGAGCTAAAGTTGGACATTGTATAATGGAATGGGATTAGTTGCCATTTGCCAACTAATTAACTTATATATCTCTCACACGATCCCGGCCAAGGCTCTGTATCTTCTCTCTTTGACACGATGCCGGCCAAGGAGAAAAGAAGACAACGACGCTGGCTGGAGAAAGGACAAATCGACGGCAGATGAGAAACAAAGAACGGAGCTCGCAGAGGCGATTGTTAATTGTACTCTTTGTTATACTAGGACACGGAAACGTGGGCCTTAGGGCTGTCCTACAGAAAACCCAATATATTTGTAAATATTGAGTCATAACTCATTTATGAGGTTTTAAGAAGTTAATATGAGAGGGAGATCCTTTCCAAGAATTAGTGTCATCTTAATGATTATTGGGTACTACCGTACTAGGGAATATGTAGTGAGTTTAGGATCAAAATTTCAGAGAAATTTTATTATCACTCACACACTAGGCAATTATTGCCGTTTACTCTCACACACAAGAGCTGGTGCTCTTTACACTCTAGCTTTTAACTTTTCTTGCTCTGAATCTGTCACAAGAGAGGCTTGCTATGTATACTACAAATGTACAACCTTCCACCGCCATTACCAGACAAAAAAATCTTGTATGTTTTTGTTTGTGGTAGGTTTAGTGTATGGCTCACTTTTTATTTCATTATTTTAGTTTGATTATTGGAGGTAGTTGGCGGATGATAGGATGGTTAGCACGCGTCAACAACTATCCCATTCTAAGCTAAGTATAACTTAAGATGACATTATCGTATAGTGGTGATCAAGGTCGTATTTTACTTGGGTCCTAGTAGTCTAGCCTACTTCCCACCTAGTTGCTATTTAGTTAATCTGTTTTGAAGGTTTGAGTAGAGAACTTGAGGAGATAACTAGACTAGAGATTGATCAAAGTTAAAAGCAGGTACTTCAGAGAACTAATCTTCCCCCCTAGCTTAGGGTTACTATGCATTCTTAAATACTTAGGGTTGGTGAGTGAGCTCTTTTCTGGGTTTCGTGATTATCCACACGCCTCCGAGTACGCCTCCCCTAACCCCATATATAGTCACATCGATCTAGGCTATCGTATCTAGGACATTAAGCTCATGGCTCATTTCAATGGACACTATCCACCGTCCACACCAAGGTTTCATCCCGGGTTCTATCTAGGAAGGCTAACCTACGGCAGGAGTTCAATCTCCTCAACCACCATAGGTCCCTATTAATACATCTATCTCGATTTGCTTGATGGCGCATATCCGTCTAACCCTAGAACTCCATACCCAGCGTAGAAGCATAAAGTAGGCTGATAGAGAAGATTAGGGCAACTTACCTAAACGCCATCAAGGATAGAATAGCAATATAATCAGCTAGATAAACACATTCATTCTTTCAAACCCTTAAATATTCATGCGTACATAATAAACTCTAAAACTAGGGTTTTAGGTTTACAACCCTTAGTACCTTAGTGGACTACTTCATAAAGGAGGGAAGACGAAACATAGAAGAAAATGAAGAAGACTTGGGTTGAGGAAGATGATCCGTCTCTTCTAGCTCATTCTCCTTCTTCTCGTTCCTTCTCCTTCCTTTAGCCTCTCTCTCTCTCTCTCTCTCTCTCTCTCTAAAAATAGAAATTCCTCTCAAAATCAGCTCATCTAAAAGGGGGGAAGGAGTCTTCTATTTATAGGCAATCTGGGGACGGAGAAGTTCGCGGGCAGAAGCATAAAGATCGCGGTCGTGATCTTTGGAAGTGAGGACGCGATCTTGAAATGTTGTCGTCCTAGCCTTCACAAATGAGGAGATCGTGGGCTGACTTCACGATCATGATCCACGATTCGTGGTCGTAATCTTCATTGCGGTCAAATGATGTTGTGGCAGTGATTCGACTGGGGAAAGTCTTTATTTCTCCCTGGCTCATTCCTCGCGAAGTTTGCGCCCTGAGCCCTCCAATTCGCGGTCGCGATCTGGGGCTTTCGGGTCGCGATCTTCAGCTTGTGTTCGCGGTTAATGTTCCCAGCAGTGATCTTCAGTTTTCAGGCCACGATCTTCAGCTTCGTGCCCCATTACTACCCTTGAGATCTTGTTTTGTACCTAATTTGCAATATCGTCTAATACACCCTAAAATCATATTGAATTCACATAGGAACGAAATAGGGATGTAATCGAAGATGTTCAAGCAATTATGACATGAATTGGCACGAAATATACCTTCATATGAGAGTTAAATAACACTAATTTAGGTGTTATCAAACTCCCACACACTTAGTCGTTTGCTTGTCCCCAAGCAAACCTATTCAAACCTAATGCAACATGACATACGAATCAATGGGGAATGCACTCTAGTTCTTCATTGCATAAAGAAGAGTAGACGGAGATGAATGAACGTTACTATCTTCCTACTGTGAAAGCACAAACTCTCGGGTGAGGACCATACCTACCTTCGGCCGAACATTCAAGGTGCGCTCCGGAGGATTCCAAGACAACAAAAACGAACTAGAACTCTTGAAGGATCTCTTGATTCTCTCTTTAGATTTAGGAGTTGTCGTTTATTGGTCTCTTTTTTTCTGACATTGACGCGCATTCCACCAAACTTTTGCAATTCTTTTGCAAACAAGCATCTCTCCCTCATGACCAAGAGCGGATGAATCATATCATTCCCTTTCAAGGTCATATGTGGGGAAGTTGATGGGCAGATTCTTCTTAGCCTGAGCACCACTTCCTAGCCTGCACTCCACATTGGGTTGCCACACATGTCGGGTACAGACAAGAGCTTTGAGGTCTCATGAATCGCTAACAGGTACTTTGGACCTTCTCATACGATTTTGTGAGGAGGAAAGATGCATGGGGGATGGTAAGTATTGAAATATGTTCGGGACGCTCTAAAGCTAACCGATCCCCAAGCATATACTCAAAGGGAACTCCGAATCCGTGAGGATTGGTTGCCTCTCACGTGAGCCTCATTTTCCGTGAGGATTGGTTGTCTTCTACATTGTTGTTCCAAGCTCTAGTGCATGACAAGAAGTCAATCGAGAAAGTTAATACCATTGGATAAGAACATTAGTAGTATCCTCTAGAAGATCAAAAAGGAGAAGTTTGTTCAATGAGCTCTCTTTCCAGGGGAGTCCAGCAACACCTCTGGTGAAACAAAGCCCGAAGTCATTGCAGAAGAACCCGAGATTGATACCGCGACTTATATAAAAGAAGAAATGGATGATCAAATTGATCAAGTGGGGAATGTGATTGGGGTCTAATCACAGCCAGAAGACCGGACTATGGGGTATTACTTGACTCCTAGGGTCGAGGATCTAAGATCAAGTATCCAACACCCTCAAGTTGATGTAAACAAATTTGAGGTGAAGACTTTGGTCATTCATATGCAAAAGACCTCGATGGTGTTTAATGGGTTGCAAGGCGAGTGTCCACGAGCTTATCGATGGAAGTAAAATCAACAGTGTACCACCAGATGCAACCGGCTACGTTGCTTTACATTCTCATTGGATGGACTGGCCAAGACGTGGTTGGATAATGGTCCACCTGGAATCGATCAATAATGTGGACTGCTATGGCCAATAAATTCTAGAGCCGCTACCATCCTCCATTGAAGACAGCGGATCTGTAGAAGGAAATCACCCATTTTGCACAGGAGGACGGCGAGACCCTTAGAGATGCATTGGGAGAGATACTCAAGTCTCTTGATAACACCTAAATTGGTGTTATTTACTCTTCATATTAAGGTTTGTTTCTTGCAAATAATGTGCATAATTGTTTGAATAGCGTCAATTGCATCCCTATTTCATTCCTATTTGATTGTGATGTGGTTTTAGGATGATTTAGACAATACATGCGAATTACGTACAAAATAAGGACACAAGTGTAGAAAAGGGGGGAAAAGACTGAAGATCGTGGACTGGAGATGGAGATCTAACACGTTAAAATATAGCACCTACCAATGGCCAAGTGTAACCAATGAAAGGGACTGCAGTCACTACAACAAATTCGGCCTATTATGACGAGGCAATTTTGTCATATTAGATACCCATTTTGTCATATTAGGTATAATATGTCAAAATGTGTTGTCACAAAACTTTGTCATTTTATCGCCGTCAAGATAGGTCAAATGTGACAAATTTCTAAAATAACGTTGTCATATTTGTTGTATGATATTGCGACATATTCTCGTGTCATATAATTGGTAAAAAACTGACGAATAGTTTTGTCACAATAAGGAAGGGTTTGTCACATTTGGACTTTGGCTTGTCAGTTCAGCTCATGTTCTAGTTAGTCTATTGTGACAAAATGAGCTTTTATGACGAAGTATTATGTCATTAGTTTTGTCATAATTTGATGATTTTGTCAAAATTGATATTCATATTACACGATCATACGATGAATATATTTTGACATAACTGCATATTATCTCGACGACCAGATCTGTGTCGACGACCCTTCTTTCACCTTAATCGAACCCCAAAAAATAGCAATCTCCCATTTTCGCTCTCCACCTCCAGAATTGGAACCCCCAGCACAATATCCCCAAACCCATAAATTGAAACTCCCAAACAAAACAAAACAAAACCCAGCATTCAACACTCGTCCACCTCAATCGAACCCCAAAAGATTCCCCCAAACCCATCTTCGTAGGTTCCTTTCCCAACTGTCACCAGCACGCTGCTCCTCTAGCAGTCGATCCACGTCGATGCACCGCAAACCGTCGCTTCCATGGCGGATCTGGGATG